TTCCTCTAAACACCAAACTGGCAGGTGGCAAAATGGACAAAAGAATCATACATTCTATGGTAATTTAAAAAAATATATAAATTTTAATAGGTTGGAGGAAACGTCTCTTCGCATGTTTATATGAAAATTCAAAATATTTTGTAACAAAGTTTATTTACATTTTACTAAAGTTGTAGGTACCATTTTGTCCAATAACTTTCGCCATCTTGTAGGTAAGGGCATGATTCCAATTCAATAGAAATTTTGGAGCTTCTGATCAAAAAAACCGCGGAAAGTGATTTTGGCAATCCTTGCGAGATCTTAAACCTGACTAAAGAATTCTGAACAGACCGAAACAGGTAGTAATCTGAAGGTCTGAAATATACGGCGGATGCATAACACCTCTCAGCCAAACTCTCTTGATTTCTTCTTAGTGGCTAAAGTTGCCTATCGTTATACTGATGAAAAACCACACCCCTTGTATTGATTAATTCTGGCCGCAGAAACAGCACTAGATCCATAAACGCTACATTTTTTTAGCGGCTTGCGTTGCACTTTTCCCTTTTGTAACAATATTTTAAAATGATGTTCTTTATTAGATTCACTCATTTTGACAGTAAGAAAAACAAATTAAAATCACACATTTCCTAATTTGAAGTCGATGTTATCTTCTTTAAAATATAAACTTTTTAATGATACTCAAACATGCCAGATACAAATGGTATAGGCAGAAATATTTTATTACAAGGTTATGCATACTATATGCGAAAAGACTTTTCCTGGAACTAATATTAGAACGATAGTTTTTTTATGGGATTGCTACCAAATTGTTACCTTATACCTTGTTTTTATTGGATTCCCGATAAACCATAAACAAGGTACATGGCAGCAATCCCGTAATAAACTATCATTCTAAACAAATGTAAATGACCATGAAAGCTTAAAACAGCACATTCATTACTTGTTATTATTCATTTTTGATATGTTTCTTTTAAAATTTTATCGAGTAGGTAGGTAATAAAGTTACTTTGACGACGAATATTACGACTAATTTTTGTTTGTTTGTCCGTCAGGTACATTATTGATTAATATTAAATACGTATTTTTTACGTAATCAATAAATATTCGGCGAAACATTGTGTTGAAATGTCACATGACGTCACGCTTTTGTACATTTTCTACAAAATTGTGACTGTGTGTATTATCTAAACTATTTCTTGTTTAAATTGAAGCAAAAAAATACGTATCTATTGTCTGACTGACGGATGGCATTTCTTTTTTTTACCCAGTCGTTATATCCCTATTTGACGTAAGTACACTACGCAGTAGTACAACTGATACGTATAAATGTAAGAATAAAATCTTCTTATTTGAGAAAAAATGTTTCTTAATCTATACTATAATAAAAACGTAACCGATCGACGTCTGTACATTGAAGATATATGAAAAAAACTGTTATGAGGGACATTTATAAGCATAATAGAACACAAAACAATGATTTTTAAATTTTTTGTCTGTTTGTCGGTTTGTCTGTTTGTCTGTGCGTTTGTGCACGATAATCTCAGAAACGGCTGAACCGATTTATATGCAGTTTTCACTATTATATTGCGGCATTCTTCCGTTAACATTTAGTGTAAGATTTATTTCAATCGGTTCACAAATAAAAAAGTTATGTCAATTTGAAGTGACGTGGTCGCCAAAATTGCTTTGAAATATTTACTTTTTTTATTAAATTTTCGTCTTCGATATATTAATCATCATCATTAATTCTTTCACAGCCAAACTGCAGGGCTTCAGGCCTTTGATTAATAATTTTTGGTCACCCATCCCGTGAACAACTCTTGGGAAAATTGCTTAGCAATAGCGATCGTGCGCAGCGGCGCATATCCGTACCGCTACCGAGCTACGAATTAATATTGTCTATAAAATGATAATTTGTATGATGACAAATAAAAAAATAAGATTCCAAAATTTTGTAAACTCCAAAGTAAATTGACCTCATTTATATATGGCCAATCATATTAAATAGGGTTCAGCTTATAATGGACATGTGGTATACGATCATACGAGTAGGAGAACAAGCGGAAAGAGCCTTCCGATGATGCAATTAAGCCTCGAGTAGTTTACAGTGAACGCATATTTTTATCAGATTAGGTTCACATCGTCGTCGGGGCCAACGGAGGTGGTTGGCAGCCGCTCCCACATTGCACGGTTTCGTCTGTCTGGGAGAGGCACTCGATTTACCCGAGTCTCTCCAATTTTCCATCTGCAAGGGGACCAATGGTCCAATACTTGAGTGTCCTGGTGACTCGGCCATAGCTTGTCGGTTTTCATTTCCCATGAGAGGGTGTAGAGTACGGGTTTTGGTGGGTAGGCCTCTGGGGACCCACCGGGCAGCTCACTCTAATATATATCTGAGACGGAGATGTTCTGTTTAGTTGTTGATTCTACTGACAACTGGCGTAACGCCAACGTGTGTTTGTAAACTTTCATCCGATGAATCTATATTTATTCGAAGTTTTATGTGCCCACCTTATAGCTTTGATGGCCCGGAGAACCAATGAAAAAACGCCACTGAATTCACATTCTATATGAATCGCTACATTTGATACGTATGCGAACGACTGATTAAAGATCACAAAGGGGTTATTCTTAAATCACATCATATGTTATGGGGGTTAATTAAGTATCAACGAAGTCTGATATGACATTGTGAAACAACTAAATTATGTGACGTCACATTTCAAAATTTTATAAAAGCTCTACAGGGCCACTTCAAAACAAGCTTTTCAACAACTGTATTAAAATTATACTTACTTAAACTAAAGTTCAGATGCTGTATTTGAATTCAAAATGTTAGTGTAAGATCTGATAAATATGTCATTTTTTTTAATAAAAACACCGGTCAATTTCAAGTCGGACTCGCACACGAAGGGTTCCGTAGCATAATCTATTATAAAACTTTAAAAAATCGCGTTTGTTGTTTCCCATGGAGTTCGAAATTAATTTTCGAGTTAAATACAATTGGTCGACTTTTACTCAGAAACTTGTAAAGCCAACTTAAGTGGGATAGTTTTCCTTTTAACTTCGTTATACTACTGTCGTAACAATTTAATTTTTAGGAACGACTGTTTAGTTGATAGAAGGGGACGTTTGACGACTAACGCCAAAATATATATTTTTACTCTACCACTTTGATAACATGTATGGCAAACTCAAAACTCATGGCAAATTACAACTTTCTAGTACCAGTAGTTTTTAGCTAAACCGCGGATGGACGGACAGACGGCGATAGCGAAACTATAAGGGCTCCTAGTTTACAACGGAACCCTATAAAACGATATTATATAATATTGAAGTAACCTCTTTTATTAAGATATTATAATAGCTTTTAAAAAAGTAAGAATTATTTAGCATTTTGAATTTTATTGCTACAATAAAGTGGATCGTAAATATTCTCTCACTGTGGGAAGATAAACACACTACACTCATTCACATTAATGACTTCTTAATCGTCTTGTAAGATATTAAAAACGAAACAGCTTACTTCTAAAGCTTCTGTTCTTTGTTATGATGCCTTAAGTAGGTAACCCGTCCAAAGATTAATGATATAAAGTATCCACTGTTCTAAAAATAAGAGAAAGATTGATGGTGAAGTGGTCAAGTGGTTAGAGGTAATCAAGCAAATCTCACGGTAGCAGATTCATATCTTAACTACCAACTGTATTTAATATATATTATTTAATAACAACCTTACTAGTTTCATTGAATACATAATTATTGACCATTTTGAATGAAATCAAAAAGTGGTATTTATCCACAATATGTAAAACTGGCCATTAGGCCACATTGTTCTCAAGTTCTAGGTATATATTATTGAATCTGTCTTATTAAATTACCATTCATTCAATGTTAATCTGATTTGTTGTTATAGTTTAATATTAAGAATAATTAAGACCGTTACCTAAACAATGATTTTGTCTGGGCGACGACTCTACAATTACACTTTTATAAATACGCTTAGGTAGTTTAGGAAATCTACCTAAAAAAGGAAATGGTTTGAGCGTGAGCCTGCCTAGCTCGTAGTTGCCTTGCCGATGTCGGTTGATCCCTCTGATACGGTCGCTTCTGTTTACATCTTACAACCGGTTTATTATGCTGACATAAACCAGTCTGGCCACATTGCCCGAGATGCTATTACATCAAAAATTTTCGCCATTTTGACCTTGACCAAAGTTGAGGTGATTTACGCATCGCCAATAATGCCGCTCGATATTAACTGTTTCATTAACGTTTATATAATAACCATTATCGTTAAACTGTTATTATCAATAATGTTAGAAGTTTTTGTCAATTCAAATTCACTATAACCTAATATCTAATATAATTTAAAAAATCTTCTTTTAATTATATGTGTTATAAAACTGACTAAAGAGTTTTAATTTAACTGTAAAACATTCCAAATAGTTTTAAAAGAAATTTTTGGTGACTTGTATAGTATACTGATAGTAATAAACTACGACGATTGAGCAAATAGTTTTCATGCCAAGCAATCATTCTCAATGTAAAGTCAATTGGCTATAATAACTATGTGTGTATACTGGCAACCTTGGCAGGGTTTCTGCGGCACTTGTCTTATCAACAACATCACGGTTTAAGTATCTCATTATAGTTACGCAATTTACGTATTCAATGCACGTTGGGATTCGTCTTCTTAAGTAACAACTCCGGTGTCCACTTGTTAACCCGAACAAAAGTTAAAATAAATTATTTTTTGCTCGATTCTCCCACAATGGACCTTCTTAATAATTTTAAGGAGCTTTTATACCTGTGCGTTTCATAGTGTGCGTTCAAAGGACAAAAGGAGTCTGATAAATGTTATTATTATTAAAATCTATTCAACTGAATAATTTTAAGTCTCACTCTGTTGAACGTGAGCTTAAAATGTTTACTGACGAAATATCATCATGACATATATCAAATATGAATGTTCTAAAGTAAACAAATCGTCATTCACTCACCGTATCGAGAGTTTTGAACTCGTTGAAGAGTCTGTTGTTTGAAATCTTTTGATTCAGGGCGTTCACGTTCGCTTCTACGGCCACTATATGAGCGGACAGCTCCTCCACCTCTTTACAAAGACGTCTGATGTGTATTTCCCTTGCGACGGTAAGGGCGGAGAGTGCTATGACCACCACCGTTAGAGTCACCGCGAATGTCACACAGCATGCCTGCCGCCTCTTCCCACCTTCCTGCACTGTTCTGTTCCTATACTGTCTCTCGAAGTCACCACTCATTAAATTCTGTGACACGTCTTTGATGTCCTTTAAAGAGTCCGTTTGCTTATACATGGTGCCACTTTCTGATATGAGAGCGTAGTTTTCAGCCATCACAAATCAAACACACGATTTACTATATGCACTTAGCCGTCATCCGTACATTATCGAGTTCGCGGTATCGTATGATGGGTAGTTGCACGTGTAGGATAGACTGTGAGACGGACGCGCGCGATCGTCGCTGAGAGCAGGGAGCGAATGCGCGGGCGCATACATACGACACGCACGACCCATCGACGTCGCCGGCGTCCGCGCTCGTCGTGCGCCTTTATCCCGAATTCCCATATCAGATATATCAAAAAGAAAGATTAACCTCTATTAGTTGATCGGGACAACTGATATGCTTAAATAAATACGCCTACCATCATTTTATGATGATAGGAAACCCATTTGTGAGTCCTTTCTAAACACAATCTTAAAAATTTAGTTAACTATATAATACATTTGATGATTTCTTAATATAATAAATTGGTTGATATAATACATCACTTTATTGGTTTATGATTATTGTCATTATACTTTATAAAGAGAATTATAAATTTTCTAAAAAATAAGTAGTAGGTAAAAATGATTATAAATTCTAATACACCAAAACTCTTTTACAAGTCCCCGTTAATGGAATTTATCGATAAATACTTGGCTTTAAAACTAGGCTAAATAAATTAAATTGTGATCTTTGAATATTTTTCTTATAATTATTATATGAAAAACTTCACGGCTTTGTATAAAGTTTTCTAAGGAAGATAATAGCTCTATAAACACCTTAAGACAAAAAGAAGATCAAAGTTTAGTGAAGTATTGTACAAGAGTTTACTATTTCTTATGAACTTTGAGAGTAATAATGAGAACAATGTGATATCTCATTAGTAGACGACCTCGTAGCTGAACAATATAACTATATAAAAACAAATTGTGTATTGTAAAATTAGGTAGTAGATTTTACTACTAATAACATATTACTTATCTACTAGAACAATTACAAACCTAATAACTGCAAACAAATTATCATCATCATCATCTTCACCAGCCCGTTTACGTCCCCACTGCAGGGGCTCAGACCTTGTTTATGGATGGTTAAAGAGGATGGGCCATGACCCTCCACGCTGGCCCAATGCGGATTGGAGGGTATTAACGACTGCAAATGCAGCCGGGACCAACGGCTTCACGTGCCTTCCGAAGCACGGAGTAGTTCGAGAAAAATAATTTTTTGGTCACCCATCCCGTGACCGACCCTTGCGAACGTTGCTTAACGACTACGATTGCGGGCCGCGGCGCTTATCCACTACGCCTCCGAGCTACCCAACCAAACAAATATTTCACTCGAAATAATGAATTTTGCGTATGTAAAATAATAATTTGAAAAGTTTCATATTATCGTATTTGTAATTTAATGTAGCGAATGTTGATAATCGGTCGAAGATTGTATATCAATTTAAGTTTATAATTTCGTTTAAAAAATCTCTTAGTTTAATAATAGAGGCGAGTAACCAAATATAAAAAACCCTAATATGTTGAAAGTGCTAAATTATACTTAATAGGGAAAAATTTGCAAATTTTCAATAAGTACAGATCTTGCAATCGGTTAACTTTGCTTATTTCAAAGTGTAATTTTAGGTATACTATTCCGTCTTTGGTTTCTTTCCTGTATTAATGATATTATTATAGTAATATGTAATAAGTATTAAACGTAGGCTCATTGAATATTCTCCGCAGTTTCAGAATAACTGATCTGAGATTCTACCGTATACCTGAAATTCGAATTGGCCTATCATAACATGGTCTGATTGATCTGTCAGGCTAACAGATCAGCTGTTAGTAGACCAGTCAAAATCAGTCTTGAAGTAGCTTCCGTGAAGCGATAGAGCTACTGAACACAATTATCATCTGTCACGAGCTCCTCTATCTTCACATTGGTAAAGACACAAAAATTGCACACATCAACGCATTATTTAAGAAAGACGGAGAAGAAATTAAGTACCTAGAGTAGTCACGCTCTCCTCGAAGTCTCTGCGATGGTGCCGTGTGCGTCGGGATGTTACGTTTCCTAAAATACTGCTCATGTGTCATGCTCGTGAACTGTGTGCTGCCAGTGGGGATGAGTCTGCTCTGGACTACTTAAATTAGTGCAGTTTCTTTTTTTTATGCATACTGTATATTGATTTGTCTGTGTGGGTCCTCCAAACTGGACGGGTAAGTACTGGTAATTCACAGTTGCACATTACCAGTCTTTAGTCGGGGGCAGTCCGGCTGGTTAGAGCGCTAGCCGGACTCCCTATCCCTGTCTGGGGGGTATGTCTCAAATATCTCTGAGACATACACCAAACCCATAGAAGGACTCACCTCGCAAGTGGCCGAAATGGGGGTGAACGCGCGGGGGGTGGTTTTCGAGCTGTCCCCGTGCATCGTCTTCATGGAGACATGGGACATCGCTGGGTTTTAGTGGGTATGCCGCTGCTATTTCACTAACCCTATCCTGTGGTGGGTCCGCGACGAAGGGTCCCACACAACCCGCCGACTCCGTGCTGTCCTTTTCGGGACGGTTGCGGCGTCGGAGAGCAGGAGGAAGCGGATATGTATAACGCATTTCTCAGCATAAAAAAAGAGAGACGCATGTCTATTTGTCGAAATATGTAGAGATAGTTAATAGCTTTGGTGAAAAATATGTTGGGTTGCCAGTAAAACATTTGGCAATATGGCCAAAGTGGATATGGTACAGTTTTAACAACACAAACAAGGAAATCATAATATAGAACTTATGTTTTGTGTTTATGTGATCCAGTGCGATTACTGTATCTTCCCTGGCATACGAGGATAAGACATAGGTGTTTATTATAACAACTGCTAAAATAAATGAAACAACTTTTAAACGGTCTTATCGAGTTTGTATTCAGTTCTATTGAGTATAAAAAAAAAACACAACACTTTAGTCTTACGTTAACACGGAAGATGTAAATGGTTTGAAACGTCAATAAAACTAAATACAAACGCTATAAATCGTTTAAAAGTTGTTACAATATAATATATCAACTGCTATAATTTTATCTATACTAACATATAAATTAAAAACTTCATAGCCCTCGGTCTGAGGCTGCCATAGGAAGATAAAAAATGGTCCCTAATAACTAAATAATTAAGAACCTCTGCTCTCAGAGGTCGATTTGCAGGCTTTTCCGCCCCTGGCCTTGTAGTACTAGCCGCCCCTTTTTTAGTTCTCATGATTTAGGCATTGCATATAAATTTAATTTCATAACAACGTTTAATTACGAAATAAATTCAGTTTATGCCATGATTTATTAATTTATTTAATTATTATTATTTGTTTATTTAACCATACGACGATGCGTAATGAAACAATGAAAAATGTTGGTAAAAATAAAAAACAATCTGTGTGGAATAGACATGCCCACAAAATATAAAAATACTTTATAAACTGACTTCGAATTGCATATGATATAACAGTAGTTTTATTTTGATTCCGCTCTTATATCTGTATTAATACAAGAGTTTTTTTTTTTGATAAACAAGTAATATATATCAGTACCCGGAATTTTATCACTAAGAATTCTATAATTGTCCGTCCCTACAAATGCAACCTATTAACCATAACCTTATTAACCTTTGCCTAAAAACATCATAAATACATAAAATTGTGTAAAGTCAAAGTAGAAAGAGTGATGAAATATACGAAGAAGCCAGCCTGGCGCGTATGTTACCAACAAACATAATGGACGTAATTAAAAACTTCCTTAATTGTATAATTAAACGTGTAGTCCTTTGATATTTCTGTAAACTACACCGCAATAGATATAGACATTAACTAGGAATTCGCAAGAAACAAACTCATCAGTAACAGTCTGAGTCGTGACCGCAAGAAACGGACCGCAACCGATAATTTGTTGCTGAAATGTAGATTAGAATTCAAGTTCGCATTCAGGGGTGAGAACACCTAAATCTCTAGCTATAGGACACAATATCTCAGCGATGTTAAAGCGCTATCTATATATATACATTGATTGAATATGTGTGTACCTCGTAGATTTGTTTAATTTTCATCTAAATATCAACGCACAGCTCAAACCACTGGACGGATCGGGCTGAAATTTGGCATACAGGTAGATGTTATAACGTAGGCATCCGCTAAGAAAGGATTTTGATCAATTCTATCCCCAAGGGGATAAAATAGGGGATGAAAGTTTGTATGAAACTTTGTCAATTTTAAACCGATCGGGCTGAGACTTTGCATAAATAAGGCTACTATGACGTAGGTATCCTCTAAGAAAGGATTTTGATAAATTCCACCCCTAAGGGCATAAGATAAGACTTTGTTTCGGGTATTTTACACGATATAATGAATAAATATTCGTTAGAAATGCTGCTCAAAGTAACTTTACCACGCGGACGAAGTCGCGGGCAAAAGCTAGTAAATAATATGGTTGCTGTATGAATAAAGACAAAAGTATATTGCTGTTTAAGTATCTTTTTTATATTGATTTTATTGCAACATCCTCATTGAGTTTTGCACTAACACTAAATATTAACTGTAAAAAACCTTTCTATACATGTGCAAAAACGAAAAAAAAAATAAGTACCTCCTATAAAGATGGAGAAAATACAGATTTGATAAGAAGGAAAGATATTAAATGGTAGTTTATTTTAATTTATTCTAAGTATCAACGCTTAATTGAATCTTTAATAACAAATTATTTTGAATATATTACAAGGCCTGCCCTGCAAGATACTGGATCTGCATTCGGCTGCATGTCAGATTACCAGAATACGAACTCTACATTTGGATTTGGAGAAATTTAACAGTTTTGTATAATCTTACGTGTTGCTGACTGTACATACACCGCATTTGGGGTAGGTTCAGTGGTTAGAGAGCCCCAATTTGTGGCCTAAAGCGTCCTGCGTTGAAAAACCGGTCAATGTGAGTCGGACTCGCTCATGGTTTCCCTACCATTATATATAAAAAAAAGCAAAAAAAACGCTTTTTATTTACCCTTATATATTTATTAGCTGACTTCAAAATCCAAAAGAAGAAGGTTAAATGTTCA